ACAGAATAGAGCTATGTTTAAGCCCAAAAGAACAGATTGGAACAGTTTCCAAAAAAGGTATAGAGACATCACTATTTCTAGGCAGTCGCAGAATGCCTTTTCTTCTATGAATAATGTGTTTTGTAAGGAATCTAATTAATTTGTCCAAATTGTATACAAATTTACATTTGTATACAAATATACAAATAATACAGTACAGTAATTTGTACAGTAATATTTGTGTGAATTTGAGCAAATAATTTTATGAGGAAACTTTTGGGAAACAAATTTTTTGATGGAATTTTTTAACGACTGATATTTCATTCTGCCATCAGCTACTTCGCTGACTAAGAATGCCGTCGATTTTTCAAGGGGGGGATCAAATAACCTAATTTTGAGCATAATTTAGTTGTATTGTGAAAGTTTACGGAACTCTGGAATGGTGTGATATTCAGTGAGGTAACTGATGGTGATGGGCAAAAGATTTTTAAATTTTGCCAGCATCAAGTTGGAATTTTCAACGTGTTATGAGGAATTAGTTGGAAATGCAGAAGCGGTGTTCACAACGGAAAAAAGGAATCAGACGATTCTTTGCACTGACTTGATCCTTCAAATGTTGAACTTCGATGGCCACACGGCTCTTCTCGTCGAAGTTTCTCCTCAGCTCGGCTTCGGTCTTTTCCGCATCCGACAGATCACGTTTCAGCTTATCAACATCGTCTTTCAGATCACTGTTTTTGGTCTGAAGACTGCTGAGCTGTGAGGTGAGCTTCCGGACGGTGTCGTTGAATCCCTGAAATGCTTTCACGCTGTTTATGAGGCAATAACCACTCAGAATCACCGGAATTCGCAACACATTGGCTGTAGATTCTCAATTCATTGCATTTACATCAAATATTGTCTCGCATTCCAATTAGTTTCCTAGATGCGCCACCATAAACTTGCATTATTCCCTTGTTCCATGGAATTCATCAAAGATATAATTGTTCTGATGCAAACGAATCAAATGCTTTCGTCATGAAACTCTTCAATGTTTTATCCGTTTGAATCATATGATCTTAACGTTTTGTAACGCTCAAATGCCCACTTCAAGCTTGCATTTTCTTTACGTATTCCAAGCTGACGATGAGTTAATTCGCTCACCTGACGCTCAGTCTCGAACGAAGTCATCATTTGTCTCAGACGAGCTTCGGAATCGTCCGAAGTCACTTGTTTTTCCACGTGAACCTTGGTCATCTCGTAGCGATCCTCCCGGTCGCGAAGGTTATGCACTTCACTGCGCGCATTCTCCAGATCAGATTTAAGAGTCTTGATCAAGTCCTAAAATTTCATTTGGGAATATTCCATTTTGAAAAATGTTTATGGGCGAGGGAGTTGTTCATGAACTATACGAAGGCTTCAGTAATTTTTCACAACATTCAAACTTTGCACTAGTCTGTTCCTGAAACGGCTATTAGTTATGAAGGTGCATATATGCGGGAATCCGGGGAATCAGGGTACATTAGTAGTACCTCCGGAGGTGGTTAACTACGGTAACTAGCCACGCCCACAAATCTTTGATAGTGGGCGTGTCTACAGTAATTTGTGGGCGTGGCTAGTTACCGTATCTGCAACTTTCTTTTGTCNGGAATGATCTCGGTATGCAGCCTCTATGAGTTTCGTCCTAGTTGTAAAGTTGTAAAAGACTTGTTACTTGTTACTAGTTACTTGTTACTTACTTGTTACTTGTATCTCTTGTTACTCTTACTTATTGAGTAAGTTGTAAAAGATCACTAAAAGGCCCATAAGCCCAAATATGTCAAGTGAACCCCACTGAAACCTACACTGAGATGTCGAATCTTAGCATCTTTTCCGCGTGCCTCCATCTCAAACATCATAATTTTCGACTTCATCGTACGTCTCTCCTCTTCGTATTGTTTCAGTTGTTCACCTTGTGAGCTTACCAATTCCTTGGCTTTAATGAGCTTGATTTCGGCGTTGCGTTTGCCTGAAAAGTTAGCCAATTGTGAGTTTAAAGCACTCGCTTTCAACTGAGTTTTTAGCTATCATTTGGGTTCTAGACCGCATTTATCTGGATGAATCTGCTGGGAATAAAATTTACATGCTGGGAATAAAATTTCACTAAGCGTCATCTTACTATCACCCTTCTAGAAATTTTTTGAAAAAATTACATTTTTATCCTTTATCTGTTAAATTTCTATCTCTTGATTATTTTGCAGCAGCTGTCACCTAAATTTCATCTGTTTCATAGTTGAATTATTGTGATATGATAAGCAATCTGCGATTACATTTAATAAAAGTCATTGCTCTAACAATACGAGAAGAGCTATTGGACGGCTATCATTGTAGTGGGAGAAAATGAAGAGGTGAGATAATTAAACTACTGAGTACTCCATTTATAGGTAAAAGTTACTGGAATAGGTAGGTAAAGGTTTACAGGTTTATAGAATTTCGCTACAGGTAATTTTTTTGCCTAAAGCTCACATACCCTCTTCAACATCAGCGACACGATCCTCAATTGTACGATAGAGTGTTTCGTGTTTAGTGACCGCAATTGTACTGTCACTTGTTTTGCGTTTGAGGCGTGACAACGAGTCTCGATAGTCGTTCTGCAATGCTCCAGATTCATTTGAGATAAGAGTTAAAGTTTTGTTTTGGCAAGCAAAATTGATCAAGGTGATCAGTACGGATTATCTTAATCCGTTGGTTACAAGCTTGAAATCCAGCAAAACATCGGAATTCCATTAGAAAACTGCGCTGTTTTGTGAAATGCGCTTAATGAGATGAATCTGAAGTCTCAGAACCTGAAGACTCACCCTTTCTCGTTCAAGCTTCTCAATACGATTCATCACATTCTGTAAGTGGACATCCAACGACTGCATATCAACAACACCTTTGAAAGAAATCATTTTCAATATAAAAATGTTGAGATCTGGAGCAGATCACTTAAAAGATATCTCATTCCGTAGATATCTCATTAAGATCAAGCAGTTAACTCGAATATCATTGTTTGAAACAAGACTATATACGGTTCAAGCTAATTAAGTTTCAAGTTTTAAGAATCGTCTGCAACTACAACGGTCATCAAAATTTTTCACGGTCACGGTCTTGCAAGCAGTAACTTTAACGGAATTTAGAGCTTTTCTGCATAATCGAGCAGTAGTAACCAGTTATAAAATTCTAGTTTCATTGGTTTCTTTCTAAAAAGTTGGATCAGATTGCTGATTAGCTGATTAGGATCAGATTGGGCTGATTAGCTGATTAGGATCAGATTGGCTACTTACTGGTTTCGGAAATGACCGTATGACTGATGATCGACTGGAATCGTCGCATCGAGTCGTTTAGCATGTCTCTTTCTCGATCAGCCTTCAGATATTCCTGCTGCAGAGTGTTGAGTCGTTCTTCGGCATTGTCCAAACGAGACTGAAATTATCCCCACTTGCTCAAATTCTTCATTGGATGCGTGCGTGCTCATCAACCTCAGAATGACGTTTCTAGCCAAAACTAGCCAAAACTGCCACCTCAAAATTGCTGGAACGGCCTTCTCTTAGGACTCATGCGAACGAAAGATTTTACTTAACGGCTGAGGAGTTCGATGGCATGGGCACCTATATCATTTGTTACTTCTATGGATCCATTCTATTAATTCAAGTACTTCAATCCAAATACCTAGCGTCCAGGTATCGCCCTATCATGAATACTATCGCAATTATAACTGAGTTTTCCGATTAAAATGTTTTACATTAAGTGATCGTCATCTGGCTGCTTGATCTTCTATCATTCAAGCGTACTGTATATAAATTTCATTGCGCCTTTATTTTATAACCAGTGATCCGCGTTCATCGATATTAACGAAGGAGTTTTATATCCAAAAAAAGTAAGCTTCAGTCAAGGATTACTATATAAGATGATTACTATATAAGAGATTACTATATAAGCTTCTATTACTATATACAATGATTACTGTATAAGCTTCAATCAATGATTACCCTCCATTCTGTGGATGCTTGTGCTTACATCTCGCCTGATTCATTCTCTGCCGTAAAGGATACTGATCTCAAGCTAAACTATTGGCAGTCTCATATCCGACAAATAAAGGAGATTAACATTCTAATCTATCATGATAGCATTGTGTTTGTAAGGGAATTTTTTGATTTACAATCGTCATGCGTATCCATGTTAATTGATCACGCTATTCTGATCGTTTCTGATCAGCGCTGGCGGTTAATTTCCCCATCTAGAATCTGATCACGTGTTTGTTTTATGATACCTGCAGATCAGTGATCTCAAACTTGCGGCTCTCCAACTCTTGGATGGCGTTGACACGACCGTCTTCAGCCGTCCTGTGTGCATTGGACAAGTCATCCAGTGCTGCGTTGAATTCGTCGTTTTTACGCATCATTTGATCCCTGCCGAACTGCAGTTCATTCTGGAGTTTTTTCACTTCATCTCGTAGAGTGTTACGTTCGGTTTCGATGTTCATCAACTGAAACGGTGCACTTGATATAATCGATGACGATTGAATGCTTTAATCACCTTTGATTTTTCATTTTAGTCTCACAACTCAAAACTCACAAATTTATCTGTTCGAACGAAATCTTGCACTGAAATCTTAATCCTTGTTGTCTTATTGAGAGCATTTCACTAGAATATCAGGTAGTCGTTGCATACTTAATAGGTTCATAAGATGCTACTCCACAAGCTTAATCCATCAATCCAGTGAGAAATATCTATCTGTTGAGGATATACGTAAAAAGAGGAGTACTCTTGAGATTTCAACGGTAACAATGGATTAAGTTCAGTGTAAATTCTAGCTTGAAGCATCTATCAAGATAATCCCTTCAGCTTGACCATGCCATTCCAAATAGTGTAGATTCAAATAATATTCGTTAGATGAAACATTCGTTAATCTTAAATTGGGAAAATTTTAATTTGATCATCTCAAATCATTATATTTCTATTGTGCGTTCAGTCACATGCATTTGATTTTGGCGTATTTGGTTACATGCTCATGCACTTGCCTTCTCTTTGATATCATGGAGTTCTTGTCTTGCGTAAGTGAGTTTGGCCTGAAGATTTTTGACAGCGTCGCTCAATTGCTCC